CAAAAAAACATTCATATCTTGTCTGACATCTTTGCTACAAACTCGGGTCTTCACCTCGGGTTTTCAATTGAAGGCCCGAGTTTGTAGCAGAGATGTCAGACAAANTAGACCCCACTGGACAATGTTGTCACAATTGCGCTTTTCAATTGAAAACAGACATCATCTTTAGAGACATTTGTCTTGTTTAGAGGCCCTAGTACGCCATTTCTCGACCCGCTCTTTCATTTGAGCCCAAAAAAACATTCATATCTTGTTTGACATCTCTGCTACAAATTCTGGTCATCAACTCTGGTTTTCAGTTGAAATTGGAATTGTTAATTTACACAATAATAGGAGTGCATTGACGATTTTTTCTTAACTCGCAAAAACTTCAAACAATTTGCTACCGATTGGTGATAAAAATTTTTGGAAATAATGAAATAGGGGGGATAACGCCTTTTTTTTCAGGGGTGATTGTTCAAAAATTTATTTTAAAAAAAGTACTAACTAGCAAATGTTTTTTATTAGCTCGCAATGTTCTTCAAAAATACTTCAATGGGGAAAAAAATAAAAATTTGGAATATCTATACATGATAATTTGGAATGATAATTTGGAATATCTATACATGGGGCTAATTGATCGGATCTCGCTAGCTGCGTATCTCATAAATAGCACTAGTAACGCCGCCTCAGCGGTGTCTCTTGGTAACTTTCGGGTGTTAATGACTAACTTCATAGCTTTATCTCTTGAATTTTGAATTCAAACTAATAGTAATTTTTCGTCACTAGGCCGAAAAAAACTTTTCTGCCGAATATGAGTTTGCAGCCCGAGCCGAAGGCGAGGGCTGCAATCATATGAGCTAGAAAAGTTTTTTTTGGCCGTATGACGAACAGTATTTTTTGTTATGATGGCCGTAGGCAGAGATTCACGGAATGACAAAAACGACTGAAAAATGTCCATAATTTGATATGAATTTTGCTTGAGTGATTCCATTCAATTCGAGTGTAGTTATGACATTCAGTGACAAGTGAAAATTGAAAAAGAAATGTTTCAATCGTTTGTTTTTTCTGCCTATAATATGTCATTTTCCGCTACGAGTGGCGCAATCGGCGGTAGGCAGCTAGCGTATAAGAAAGTCTGAATTTGGATCTTTCAAAACAATTATTTCACCTCAAAAAAATTCCATTGAAATTTGCTACTCTGATAGTAACTGCCGTCCAATTTACATAACCACTTAAGGGGAAACCGCACTGCAATTTCAAAATTGCAGATGCCTTTATTTATCGTGCTGAGGAGTGAACTACTTGATTTTTATGTAAAAATATATTAAAAAATGATTAAATTCCATCAGTGAAAACAATAAATTTTGATTTTTTTCACTGATGGAATCTTCAAACATATATTAACGCAATTCTCAATCGATTAACTTGAATTTTGATTTACGCATGCTTGTGTACGTATTACGTATGTGTGAACAAAAATTTGAGTGAATTGGTTGATAATTGCGGCATGAGAACACTTTTGAAAATTTTATTCCTCTAAATCCTCTTTCTAATCAATTGAAAAATTATAACCTCTTTTATTATTATTTTTTTTGCATTAAAACTGAAGTAGTAAACTCATCGGCACGATAAATAAATAGCCCTCCCCTTAATTGTTCATACGGAATCCTTCTTCACTGCTATTAAGTTTTCCTATTTGAGAATGAAATAAATATTTTTTTCATAATTTTCAAGTTTGACAAAGTTACTTTTTGATAAGACAAGAAATTTGATATCTACTCAGCAGAAATATTTTCAGCAGAGATTTTTTTTGCATGCCATTTTTTTTCTGAATTCAATAATTCAATCATTTTTAATTTCCTAATCATTTGTCTTCAATTTCATCATCATCATTGCATGTCTATACATTATTATTTATTTGTTGTTCAAAAAATGGAACTAATAAATGAATAAAAACATGAATTTAATAGTAGTAGAATGGTAAAACAATAAAAGTAAATCAACTGTATTCATCTAACATTAAAATTAATTCTTATTCATGATCATTATTTATTATATATTCGAAAATTATTGATTAACAAGTCGTTTTCCAGTGGCTTATGAATAGAAAATTCCCCACTCTACGCTTCAATTTCTCGTGAATAAAAGACTAATAAAAATGAACAATCCCTCAATTGTTCGCAACCTCTGAATTCCAGAGATCCAAAGCCTCGAGGTTTTTCAACAGGCGAGAGGATCCTGGCCACATGGGCAGATGGCCGCAAGTACCCAGCCACAGTAAAAGCAGTCTTAGGAAACGGTAAGTAAGCTAGACCTAGCCTCATCCGCTCCCATTGTCCCCTCGAATGAGTGCAAGTGAGACAGCCTGCGCAAATCGTACAACAGTTGCCTCTCAGTTGCTTGACGTTTCACCTTCCTATAAATAAACTCAATGAGTCTCGCAGTTTGATTGATAATAACGAAGAGGTACTACCAAATTTGTTGTTATTCACAGATCGTTACGACGTTTTATTCGACGATGGTTATGCCAGAGTCGTTCGCTCATCGAAGATGACTAAAATCGCTGGAGCAGTGGAGAAGGTGAGATTATTGTTGAGGTTATGTTGTGGGGCATATTGACTCTGATCCTGGTCAATTTGACTGTTTATTATCTTTCATTTTGATGTACATTTGATTAGTTTTTATTTTGAGCGATTCGGGATTATTTTTTATTGGAATGGGTGGAACAAGGGGAGGAGTTGAGGTTTCGGGAGGTATGATGGTGGTTTGGAGTTTGTGTTGGGGGATATGGCTAGAGCTATTGAAGTTCATGACAATTTTTGCATATTTTTATCAGGAATGATAGCAAAAATGGTTGAATTTTTATGGAAATTTGGACTGCATTATGTGTAAAATCATGGGGATAGACTTTGGGGATCGATAATGATTCTCGATTTTCTCTCAAGCTCTCCTCGTCGAATCCTAATTCATTCCCAAATAGTCGCTGGCTCCGCACAAGCCTCAATCTCACATCAGTTATTTCTATTCAGTCTTTCTGGTCTGATTAAAGCCTTTTTGGTATTGCACATTTGGTCATTCGTGAGATGAGAAAGTATTCTCTTAAGCCTTGAATGGCTTCAGAGTTTAATTTTTTTTAGAGGTTTTTTTTTTTGTTAATGTCAGATTATTGTCTAGAGTCAGGATTGATAACAAAAATAATTCAATTTTATTGCGAATTTAAGTGGATAAAATATAAAATCATAAGGATTAAATCACAAGGACTTTGGGTGTCAGTAACGATTACAATTGCTCTCGATTTCTCTCCGCTGTTTTCATCCTGACTCATTCGCGAACAGTTACTGGCTCAAAATGCTTCTTATATCACACCTCAATGAGATCGAATCGAACTCAATCTCAAACCTATTGTTTCTATTTTTATTTTGTTTTTCTGATCTGATTAATTGCCTTTTTGGTATTGTACATTCGGTCAATCTGGAGATGAGGGTGACATTTCTCTTAAGACTTGAATGGCTTCTGAGTTTATATTTTTTTCCGAATTCGTTGTGTTTGTTAATGATCATGATTGATAAGGAAAATTGTCTAGTTTCACCAGAAATTCAAATTCATGAAATATACAATCATAAGGATAAAAGTCATTGACATCATCAATTAACTATGAATTTTGCTCTCCATCAATTAAACTAGTCAAGTACCCAGCAGCGGTTACCGATGGAACCCGAGACATATATAGGAAGTAAACAAGAGAGAAGAGACAAAAAACGAAAGCACACAGTGACAGAATTATTCAATAGTAGAAAACGCACAAAGGCAGACAAGGAAGGGCCCTTGAAGAAAGAAGAGATGCCTGACGCCCCAGAACAAGAATCTGAAATTCTTGAGGCCAGTGGAGTAGCCCCGAGCTACGACTCTGGGCCAGAGATGCTGAAGGGTTTCCCAAGTCCTAAGAAAGCTAAGAACTTCTCCAAGAAGAAGAGGCAACCAGAGTACCCCAAGGTGGTGGACACGGATCAGGATCTGGAGGACGATCCAGGGCCTGAGTGGGTGAATGGAGAGCCTCAGGGGATCGAGGCCTTCACCACTGATGGAAGCAGAAGGTCTGTCATTGTTCCTGATAAGAGATTACCTGCTGGATGGCAGAAGCATTTTGTACAGAGAAAGACTGGGAATTCTGCTGGGAAGTGGGACGTTCTCTTCGTTCAGTGAGTTTTATTGAATTAATTGGATAATTTTTTGTGAAGATTTAACATTTATTCTCTAGTTTTTAGTTTCATCCAACAATAATTGTATTTTTATCCTCAAAATTTCCATTTTTATTTGATCCGTTGTTGAATTAATTCAGATTTAAAATTATTTTGTCGATAGTTCTTCCCTTTCCTCGATCAGATATGATTATTATTTTAATTCTCTTGCATGATGAATTTTTTCAAGAATTTTTTGTCAGGAACAAACGAATATTTCATTTTATTCTCCAGTCTCAATCTTTATCCAAAGATAATAGATTCATTTTCCATTTTAATTTAATCTATTTATACATCTGTTTATATTTGTAATTGTCTTTTCGAGTCTTTTAATTTTTTTTCTAAATTTACCTTGGATGATGAATGTATTTATGACAATTTCGTGATATTTTCTGTTGCAGCAAATCATCTGGAAAAAAGTTTAGATCCCGAAGTGACTTAAAGACCTTCTTCGAGGGTCAGGGTCAGATGCACTACAACACCGACATGTTTGACTTCTGCATTCACCGAAGGAAAAAGTCCGGAGGAGGAAGAAACTATTCGGTGAAGGCGGAGAGTCCTGTAGACACCCCAAAGAAGATCAAGACACTTCTGCCGAAGGCTAAGACCAGTCCTACTGCCACTGTGGGCTCTGAAAATCTTCTGCTCAGTCCTGCTAATTCTCCGTATTCCCCAGCACCTGTTAATGCTCCTGGGGTTGCCACTCCCACTGATCCAAGTGGTGAGTATTTTTTAAAATTAAAAGTCTTCAAAGTATCTTGAAATAAAAAATCTACAATTTCATTTGCAGTTGCAAAATAAATCCTTACAAAAACGTAAATAATTCAGGAAAATTGTTTAACTAGATTAAATCAGGTATATCAGGTATGAACGGCTTATTTATAAATTTTCTTGAATTGATTTTTATTTATTAAAATCAGTACCTGAGGGGGAAAAGTCTTTCAATTGATATAAATCATCTGTAATTATTATTTTCAAATTCATCTTGGTAATCATTCAGTTTACATACTTAACTAATCAACTAATTGATTAATCAATTAATTAGAAAAAAAAATAGTGGGGAATAAAAAAATATAATGGGGAATTTCCACAAAAAAAATTACAAAAAAGGTTTTTCACTTTTTTTCCTGAAATTGATGGAATTTTTTCATCAAAAATTTATTTTTAAAAACGCCTAAGCGATTGAAAATTGAATACTCACATAATTTATCCCATTTTTCTGCTGCAAGGAGTCATTTATTGTAAGTCAAACCCTAAGAAATAAAAAAAAAAGCATTCGACATATTCATTTCTATCACAAAATTGTTCTAATTGATTAATTAAATTAATGGAATCAATTCATTCAATTCCAATTCAAATTGAAAAATGAAAAAAAATAATAATTCAAATTAATTAATCAATTTAAATCTTATTGAAATCTTATCTTATTATTATCTTATTTAACTCTTATTTAGCGGTATTCGTGGGAGGCCTTCGTGTAGAGATGGAAGACGGTGCCTTCAAGTGTCCCATCGAAGGCTGTGCGAAGACCTTCCGCAAGGAGAATCTTCTCCAAATGCACATAAAGCACTACCACAAGGAATACTCGCAATACGTGGGCTCCACCCCCAACGTAGCGGATTTGGCGTACGCTAGGACTATTGGGGAGTCCATCCAAGACGTCACTCCCAAGAAAACCGCTGACAAACGCAAATCCCTGCCGGAGAGGTCCATTCACTCGTTCTCCTCAATATCGCCACTCACTGCCCCAATTCAAAACACTACGATTTCTGATGGAAACACAACTCGCGAGGATTCCAAGCTCGAGATGATGTCACCGATGTCGAATTCCAGCATGGATATCACGGATGATGGGGTCCAGAGGACGGAAATTGGAGCCATGTCCCCAGGTAAAGAGAAGCTGACTGAATTGGGGGAATTTGAAGTGGGATTTGGAAACTCACGGATTTATTTTAGCGATATCTCAACACGGGGTCGGTTTATCAGAATTTATGAAAAAAACGTTTTTAAAGAGAATTGAATTTCCAAAAAAAATGTTTGCTGATATTTTTTGATAAACCCATTTATTACTGAGATATTGAGAAATTGAAAAAGCAGGGTACCGAGTCTCATCGACAGAAAACATTAGACCGTTACTTTTTGCGTTTTTAATCTTTTCTTTTTTTATTTCCACCAAATCCATTGGTAGTAAGCTTCCGAATGGACACGTAGCAATTTCATTCTGTGACGTATTGAGACCGATCAATACGTCGATTAGAATAATATTAAGAGACATTCGGTCGAAATAACTAGATCATGGGAAAGAGGAATATGATTTCTCTTTCCTGTGATCCAGACATGAGCTCAGTAGTCACATGGTGTGATTTAGACATCATGGTCAGCGGTCTCACGGTGGCACCTGAGTCCAGCTTCCCCTGAAGGAGCTGTTTGACTGTATTAGTCTGTGTCAATGATGACATATGACTGTGTTGGTCAGGGCGAATCGTGGGACTGCTTACCCTACACTTTTAGGTCTTGAGCGCTTTGCAAAGTCTCTGTAAGGGCAGAGTACGATTGGGAGTGAAGCTGGACGGTCATTCCAGCTCCTCCACATTTAATAACGCGTAAACCGTATCCCAAATCCCAACCCTGTAGTGTATTTTAGTAAATAGTTCAGTATAGCTTTTACCAATTACACTCGGTGTTTCAATGAGAAGTACCTTCCCAAGATCCAATATCCCACAACAGACCGAAGTGAGCGAACCCCCGTGAGCTCACCGCGGAAGCTAGCCCAGTTGAAGTGAAGACAAATATAAGAAAGATGAGAAGAAAACAGCTCGTTTTACTTGAGTTTAACCCGGGGTTAAACTCAAAACGTCACAATTCTACAATTAAAAAATGACAATTTCACGTGCTAGCATATATGCTACCAATTCATCAAATATTTACACCTCTTAAAATAGGTCACACCTCTAAAAGTCGCAAGAGTGCTTTTATGACAGTTATGACCTGTTTTACCAAAGATTGACATAATATAAAATAGAAATGAACATACGTTTTTTATACATGACTTTTTAAGTCGTCCAGATTCGGAAATCATTGATAAAATGACGACGTACTGAAACGATCGATAAAAAATTGTCTATATAAGTGTGACTCGATAATATTGACTAGTAGTCAAAATTTCGGATGTTCATTCCAACTTTTACGTGTTTTATGGAACGTCAAATTCACTCTCAGATGGCAAAACGGTAAAAACACAAATATCTTGAAAACGTTGTACCAACGGTTATTCATATTTTGATTAATTAATCTTGATAGGAGACAACAAGATAAGTATTTTGAAAAAAAAGAAGAATGAAATCAAACCAGTAGTTTGGGAGATATTGAGCAGAACAGTTTTTCATAAAAAGTTAAATACACAATCCTACAAAATTACCAGCTTTTTTTGGCACAGAGATGAGACTGCCACCACTAGAAAGATTTTTGCATAAGTCCTCAAAATGACCCAAAATCGCCTTTTGCAAAATTTAATTAAAATTTAATTAAAACATAACGCCTGTGTCTATTGAGCTGAAAAAAAAGCAACGTAAAGACCGGAAATTATAGTTCTAGATGGGGTCGGGTAGTTTTAATCATAAGCAGGAAATTATTCATAAAAAATTCCACATTTTTTGAGTAAAATTACATTTATTTTTTGAAAGAATGTCATGGCGGCAAGAGTCTGAAGTTGCATTAAAGTTTTGTGGATTGAATTGAATTGATTGAATTTAATTTTTTTTCTACGTCAAAATATTCCTTATCGTAGTATCCATCAAATCATATTATAATATCTTCATTTAACCAAGGACGACTTGGTAATAATTTGCATTTTTCAACTTTTCGATTAAATCGATGTATACACGATAACTCTCTAAAAAATTGAGATAGAAAGTTGAAATGGCACGATTGTAGCTCTCGTGACGTTGCAGAATGGGATTTTGGATGGGCGAAATCGGATAAGTCGTTTAGAAGATCTTAGTTTTAAGGCTTTTGCGGCCATGATTATTGATATCATTGGCTTTCGAATGGATGTGGTAGATATTCAACTTTTTGTAAAAAAAACTGTTATGCTATGTTATGATTTCATTTTTAGTGTTTCCTAAATACTCGTTCTGATGCGTCCTATCACGATCAATCAAAATATAAACAACCGTTGGTACAAAGTTTTCAAGATAATTGCATTTTTACCATTTTTTTTATCTAAGAGTGAATATGACGTTCCATAATACGCGTAAAAGTTAGAATGAACGTCCGAAATTTTGGCTAGTAGTCAGTATTATCGAGTTACATTTATGTATAAAATTTGCACGCCGCAGGCACACCTGTCTAAAACACTGCCTACGACCCTCATGACAAATAGTACATTACATGCCCGAGCCGTGGAAAATAGATCACCGTTCCCCACGTGCAAGATTGCCTTCTGAGCCGAAGGCGAGGATGGCAAGCACGTGGGGGAGGGTGATATGTTTTCCATGGCGAGGTGTGTATATTAATTTTCGTGTCGAGGGACCTGGAAAACGCCAATTTTGTGGCGTGCGGCGCCACGAAAATGGGGTTTTCCATGTCCCGTGACACGAAAAAATAATATTCGACACACGGGCGCAGAAAAATTTTCTGACTCAGATGATTTGCATCACTCGTCTTCGGCTCGTACTGCAACCTCATATTCGCCAGAAAATTTTTCATGCGCCCTAGTATCGAAATGTACTATTGTCGATCGTTTCAGAACATGCTGGCATCTAAAAAAATTCACACATCGTCATTTTATCAATGATTTTCGAATCTGGACGACTTAAAAAGTCATATAAAATAAACGTATGTTCTGTTTCATATTATGTCAATCTTTGGTAAAACATGTCATAGCTGTGATAGAGACAGGGGGTGTGGCCTTATTTTAAAAGGTGTAAATCTTTGATGAATTGCTAGGATATTTTGACGTGAAATTGCACTGAGAAGAAAAACTATTTTTGCCAAATATTCATTGAATCGAGAGAAGCATTTATTTTTTTGAAAGTCGTTTTTCTCCAATCGAGTAATTCCCAGGCGAGTCTGATTAGGTTTCAATTGTAGCAATCATGATGCTCTAGAGGATGACTGTGTTGCACATGAACTTCTCCAATGATTACTCATTTTTCCTGAATTTCTTATTTTCTAGAGGGAAGAATTTCGTTTAATTTTTCAATGTTGATAATTATTGAGGGAGTTCACTCGAGGTCATAACTAACATGTTCATCCTCTAGAGCAATATAATTGACATAAGCGAAACTCCAATGGTGAAACAGTATTAAAAACATAAATAGTTCTCCTAAATAAACGGATATTTTGAAAAAATAATTTTTTTCTCAGTGTGCAATTTTTAATTTTTAGAATGAAATTGCTACTCATCCATTCGGAAGCTTACTACTAATGGAATTGATAGAAATAAAAAAAGGCTAATAACGCATATACTAATGGTCCAATGTCTTCTGCCGGATAGTCTCGGTTACTTGCTTGTTTTCGTGACGATTTATAAAAAAATTCCGAAAAATCTGTACGTACATACGGACATACAGACATTTTCTAAAAACATCATATCTTCACATTTCATGATATTCTACATCATTTCCAAGTAAAATTAGAAGATTGTCAAAATGGATGATTATAAAGATTCCGTTCGGAAGCAAAAATATTAATGAAAGTTTAATTTTTTTATTTTGTACATATCTCTGAAACGATTAGATTTATCAAAAAAAAAACAAAAGAATTTTTTTGTAATAAACAAAATTTTGAAATTATGAAGGAAATTGAGTGCATGCACAATTTTCAGATAGAAATTGAAATGATTTCATCTTCTGAATGTTTCTAAACAATGGAGCTTATTTAAAATATCAAAAGGTTTTTTCTTTTGTAATAAGCACAATTTGCAATCAAAAAATGTCAACGATTTTTTGTAAACGTAACTATTACGGAAATACTTGAGAAGAAAGTACATTAACATTTTATTTCAATAGAGTAAAATTATCAAAGATGTATATTTTGATTTTTATCATCTATTAAAATATTCATTTTGATCTCCAGGTGCATTATTCGATATGAAAATTCGAGAAGAGAAGACTCAAGTGGGGATTAAAACTCTCCTCCCTGTGAGGCCCAGTGCAACAGACCCCCAGAGGACAGATCGGTCAAAGTCTGTCGACGAATCGAATAATTTTGATAAATTGAAGGGCCAGAGGAAACGACATTTGTCCGAATACAGCTCTGACACTTCTACAAAAAGCAGGAAACCCAAGGGCATACAGGAGTTTACCGAGGAGTATGGAGATCTGGATGACAGTGCCCTGGATGCTGAAGGACCTGCTGGACTCGTGTACAGATATAGTCGGAGGAAATCTGACCCAAAAAGTGATGAGAACAGTCAGAGCAGTAAGTTCCCTCGTGGATAATCGTTGAATATAATTTATTTTCCAATAATGAGCAGGTTAAGTATTGATTGTTGATGATTCGGTGTTGGCAGAGTGAGTTTTCCCATCTTTTTTTTTCTGAAAGTCTTATGCACTTCAATTAAAAAAAAAACTAATAAAATTGTCATTATTTGTTTTGAAGTTATTTAATATGTACAAAAGGATTTTTAATCTTTTGAAAAGAATTTCTTAACAACAATTTCATTTAAAGAGTGAAAGATACCGCGTGGATAATCATCAAATCATCATTAAATATCAATTATTGCTGTAATGAGTGATTTTGGAGAAGAGGGAGGGAATATTTTTTTTCTGACAATTTTAATTCACTTAAACCATTGAAAATAATGCATCCGTCAATTCTCAATTATTGATGATTCAGAGTTGACAAAGCGAATTTTTCAATTTTTTAAATTTTCATTTTCATAGTCTTTTATAGAAATTCATCGAATTTTCATTATCTAAAACTATCCCATTTTTTAATCACTTAGAAACATATTTTTAGTCTTTTAAAAACAATTCTTAACAATCAGATTCCATTTTCTACAGAAAATAGTTCCTGACATTCTCCTGAACCCAGTGAAAGTATGCACACAACAATTCTTAGCTATTGATGATCCAGAATTGACAGAGAAATTTTCTTTTTATTTTCAAAGTCTTTTTATGAGCTTTAATGTAGAAGAAAATTTACTAAATTCTCAGCAGTAATATCACGAGACGTCGAGAAGTTTTGCAGATTAAAATTTTTGTGCAAAACTTATCCCGACCCTTGGTACGCAGGAAAACATGAGGGAAATGTCCGATTAATTTTGGAGGTCGAGTGGTATTCGACTGATTATTTTTGGTAATCGAATCCTTCCCAAACCGACTCATTTTGACTTTCTTCATGACTTTCTTTCACTCCACAGGATAATATTTGACAGTTATTTGGTTAGAGAAACAATTGCAGAGTTAGAGGGAAATTATCAAAGGTTAGGGGGAAATGACCGCTGTAATTTTAATTGGGAAGTACTTCATATTATTGAATACTGAACTCTGATTGGCCCAGGGAAGGCCAGATCCGATTACCAAAAATAATCATCATTAATTTCGAAGTTTTTAAATATCCACAAAATTTTTTTTATTTATTGAAAACAATTTGAAAAATAAGAATTTCCTCCAGATGATATTCAAATTCTTCAAGAACAATTCAAAATTAATTTTCAAAAATCCTGAATTTCAGACGGTGAAGGTGCGATGATAGAAGTAAATGGTGAGCTAGTGAAAGTCGAGCAACTAGAAAGAGAAGAAATAATAAATTGCACATGTGGAATAACCGAGGAGGACGGTTTGATGGTTCAGTGTGAATTATGCCTGTGCTGGCAGCATGGCCACTGCAGTGCTATCGAGCGAGAGCGAGATGTCCCTGAGAAGTACGTATGCTACATCTGCAGGAATCCTTGGAGAGGCAGGTCCTCCATGAAGTACAGCCACGACCAGGACTGGATAAAAGAAGGGAAGCTAGAGATCCTGGAGAATAGAACAAGGGATTTGGAGGCGATAAACAAGAGAACAGCAATGTTGAAGAGGTCCTGGGACCTGGTGGGGGCACTAATCCACATCCAGGAGACCCTCCACAGTCTGAGGGTCAAAATCAATGTGGCCCAGAAGAAAGATCACCCTAAGCTCTACCTATGGGCCAACAACTGGGAGAAATCCGAGATTCCAGACGTCAATTTGGATCCTGTCCCAATCATGAAGGTTCTCCTTCCTAAAACCGAGGCTGAGGATGTTTTTGTAGACCCTAAAGTGAAAAATGAAGAGACTAATGATGATAAAGCTGGCAGAAGTGATAACGAGGGGAAATCGATAGCTTCTGATTCAGAGCTGATGAAGATCCTGGAGGAGGACAATTCTGTGATAGGTAACTAGAGAAACGATTTTTCTAGGTTTAAAATTGCCTATAAGAAATTCATTTCAACATTGTTTGATGAATCCACCAGTTTTGGAGAGGGATTTTTTTTAGAACATATTAAAGTAGCTCTACCCCTACGGGTGGACTCGTTGAGTGCTTTTGAAAAAAAAAAAGATTCTAAAAATAATTTTTTTGATGTCTAAATTATTAAAATAATTTATAAAGGACATAAGCATAAGAATTATTTCATTATTAATTGTTTTCAATAAAAGTATGAATAAATAGATTTTCAATTGACTAGCTTGGAAAAATTAGTGGCAACACTGTAGGATAATTTGACGGGCGAGAGAGGTGAGAGAGGTCCCGCCAAGTGGCAGCTGACCGAGCCGCCGTTGCCACGTCTACTCCTGTTTACAGTCTCCCGTGATTCTAGTTGAAAATTGTTAATAATAAATAAAACTAAACGATAAATCGTTATCTAACAGGTGCCAATATTTTTTATAATTTTTTCTCGTTTTTAGGAAAAAAAATTAGATTTTAATCTTTGTCTTAACCGGAGCTGCGTCAAATTTAGCGTTTTTCTCATAAGACCCTGTGTTAAATAATGAATTTTCAACATTTTCATTTATAAAAACTTGAACGACAATTAAATGAGGAAAAAAATTACGATTCCGAATCACACAGAGTTTTTAGGCGATTTGTTGTAGTTTTTAAACATCTTTGAATTGAAATATAACCTCCTAAGGGTAGAGCTACTTTAACCCTCCTGAACTGGCTAGATCTCTTACGTCTCACTTGCACTGCAGTGGCACCCTATAGGTTGAGTAGTTGGCGGCGGTGCGCCACTCTACCCGCCAGTTCAGGAGGGTTAAACTAGCAGGGGTTTGCGCCCATCCGACCGAAGGCATGTGATTGTTACTGTTTGCGTTATTAGTGCTTTTCGTTTGTTCATTTCTACTAATTCCATTGGTCGTAAACTTCCGAATAGATCCGTAGCAATTTCCTATCCTTAAAACTTCAACCACATTCCACCGGATGAAATTGAACCTTTCGATGAAATAGATTCATACATAAGGCTAAAAGTTTCACAACCGCTCGGCCGATTTCACCCATCCAAAATACCAACCCTCCATATTAAGGGGGAAATCGCATTAGGAGGCTTGTTTTTGTTTTTTTTTTTGAAATTTTTTTAAAAGTATATTTTCAAGTATTTTTTATCGAAAACTTCAAAGTTATAAGCTGCTGTTCATAGAGGTCTGTCTTCAGAGTCCACTTTTCACATGCAATGTTCAGAGCGCAAATTTCACCTGAAAGCAACGAACATAATTTTTTATATCGTTTACGTATTTTTTTATTAATTCAACCAACTTTTAACTAGAAATATTAAAAATAGAAAAATTGAGAGGCGTTTGAAAAAAAAAAATTCAAATTTTCACTTTTTTCTGGTCTGTTTTCAGAAATAAAACATACTAAAAATTATTATATTTTCCAAAATTAGATTGAATTAATAGATAAGTTCGTAACAAATAATCATAACTTTGGTTTTTGAAAATCGATCAATAATTCGCCGAGTTATCGTGCACGTGAATTGAAAAAAGGCATTGCGAAAAAAACGCATTTGAACGAAATAATACCGAAAACGAGAAATTCAAGTAAGTAATAAATTATATGAAGCGCTTACATCTCAATTTGCGATTCCAGCACCATACAGCAATCCTTTTTCTTCTTCATAGGCATGGTTCAGTTCCATCACCTCCTCTTTTCTTGCTTTCCTCGCTTCCTTCGTCTCCAGAGCGCTACGTCTGTTTTGTCGTTTAACGCGCTGCTTGTCTATTTGTTATCAATAACTGAAGCTCCGCGAGCCAACTGCAATCTCCAATTCGTTCATGACCCTTAGTAGGGCAGAATTTGTCGCGTTGAATGAGACAGCAGCTAAAAATGATGCTAGTTCCATCACTTTTAAGCCACAATGGAAATGTTTTGGAGCCCAGCGCCAAACTCTACAATTGAAACTCGTTTGCATTTTGTGCGTGACCACCTAAACATTTTATCAATAAATCTTCTCACAACAAATCTTCAAATATAGGAAGTATTTCACTATCACATGAGAGTCATACACTTCAAAGATCGAGTGTTCTGCGGTTGAGAGGTTTTCATGATTCAGGAACTTTAAGGGCGAGGTTTATAGTAGAGTGTCAATTTCTCATTTATAATCTCCACTACCACTCCACTACCCATGGAATTGGTAGAAATGAAAAAAGAAAAAGAGTGGTAGCACATTAAGAAACGGTCAGATGGCTTCTACCAAAAAGGCTCGAACCCCTACTTATTTTGTGAAAAGTTATAAAAAAATCGCAGAATTTTGCACGCACATGTGGACACACAGTCTATAAAAACATCATATCTCGAAGTTTAATGACATTCTGAATCATTTCCAAGCATAATTAGAAAATCGAAAAATCGACTGATTATAAAGCTTCCATTTGGAAGCAACAAAAAATCACAAGTTTCCTTTGGAGCTATTTTTCCCCAGAATATTAATGTAAGTCAATTTTATCTCTATTTAGCATCACTTTACTCCTGTCTTCATGATTGTTCACGTGAAAATTATGTCAATAAACATCACATTTCAAAATTAATTGGGTTTTTTTTTGCGATAGGCAATCAGGGAAACGATGCAAAGGGATGTAAAAAGGAAGAGGAGAAGGCTGAGGGACATATTTTGCTGGACGCCTTGACTAGGGGCGAGGGGAAGGAGGAGCTGAAGACAGAGGAGAAGCCTGACGTACCTTTTGAGACTGTCAAACAGATGCAGCCTGTTGTACCTGAGCCTGAGGCACCTATCGACCCTTATGAGTGCAGGCTGAGGCTGTTGGAGCATATCGAACATTTTCAGAATCATCTGGATGCTAAGTTGATGGAGGTGGAGGCACAAGTCGATGGTGAGCAACAGGAAATGCAACAGTTGTTTTTTTAAAATTGATATTTAGTTTAGCTATTTATTTTTTATTTTTTAAATAAGAGACTTAGATGATACTTTTAACAAACATTTTATTGGAAATTTCAAGTGTAACGAAAAGGTTTTCTTGACATTATTTTTCATAAATTTATTAGTTTCAATTTAGAAACTATTCTACACAAGGTTTTCTTCTCAGGCTTTAGAATAAAATTATTCAAAGTTTATTTCTTAAATATCTTCAGAAGAAAAAAGCTTACGGGAAAATGTCAGAAGATATTTTTTGAAGAGAATTTCAAAGAATACACAAAAGATTTGTTTGTTGAGGAACTAAATTTAGGATGGATGTGGGATATTGTTTCACTAGCTGTGTCACTGAAAGTGATTTAATACGAATTAACGGAAATCACGTTTATTCGTGGGCACAGGCCGTTCGTTATTGGATGATATTTATACTGAATTGCACTTGACTTTAATTAGTTGAATTTCTGTAAAGAATAATATTTACTTGACTTGTTAATGTAATTGTTTCTACATTCAATTCGTTAACCATTTAACCGATAGATATATAGCTGCGTTTCAAACAAGGGTTTTTTACATTTTTCTCTAAATCCGATAGGTACAAATATATGGGGTATTCCATGTGAACTCACCCAGGTCAAAACCCTCACCATCGCCAATAATATTGCCGATTTTTCCTGTGGTTGTATATGGAAAAATATGACTTCTCAATTTTTTTCAGATTTTTTGAGGCATCCTGTGGACAGCCATGTTTTTTTGCAAGTTTTATCTTCAAATGCCTGTAACTTCCGTAAAACTCAACCGATTTGAGTTTTTTTTCTACAAAATGTGCGTCTTCGAACACACTTTCCATATAAAAATATGCCAATTTTTTTCAATTCGTTCTTCCATCGATTTCCTCAGAAAAACCTCAAAAAACTTCAAAAAACGAGTCGCTTTTAAAGTTGGACCCTTTTTATATTTTTCAAAAAATTTCAGTGAATATATTGGACCAAAATAAAATT